GCTGAGCCAATTTTAAAAGTTTTAACATTCAAAAGTTTTTGAACTATTAAACACTAAGTGCCATGTTTTTTACCTTTATTAAGTTATAGAGATAAAGTGTAAGTGAAAGCAGTTATTCCTGGCTTCTACACTTATGAATCAGATTGTAACTATTTCTTTCCTTTTGGATTTGTGGTTTCTTAAACTATTTAAGTGATGTAAAAGATGAGTCTTGCTAGGCGTTTCCTCGTGATGTAAAAGATGAGTCTTGCTGGGCGTTACCTCTCCTTTAAAAGTGTATTTGATATTTAACTGTAAACAAGTTTTCTCCAAGGAAACTTTTCTCTACATTGTCTTACTTTGTCATCTCCTTAGGAATGAGATCCCATGTTTATATACTGATCCCTCCCTCATTTTATTATTACAATATGTGTTACTCATGAATGTGTGGGGTTTTATTTTATTTTTGTATATTTTGAAAATATCCACAGGGTTTTTTAAGCAACTTTATTCTTAGTCTTTTGCCGATTACTAAACATTTTCCTTTGGGTTACTCTCCACCCACCTTGGGAGTTGTGAATACCTACCCTGTAATTGGTTTCCTCTGGCCACTGATGTCACATGCGTGGTATTGCCTGTCAGAGCATGGAATTCTAAGACTTCCTCTTTAGATAGAACAGTTTAACTTTTGTGCTTCTGGGAAGAGGCATGGTTCTTGGGACAGTTCTGCTTCCACTGAATGGTTATGGCCAAGATGAGGACAGGTCACTGTGCTGCCTGTGCAGTGAGGCCTTGGAATCTACTCTACCCAACTTAACAGGTAGGGTCCAGAGTGGGCAGTTTGGGGAGGTGAGATAACCACATTACTCAAGTATGAATAGAGATTTTTAAAAATTAATTTTATTTAATATTTTTGTCTTCATTCTTGGTCAGTGAAGGTTTATGTGCTTTTTCTTAGCATTTCATAATAGGATTTCATAACTTAAATGGAAGAATATGAGTAATATAATACTTTGTGATAAGATAGATATGGATTATGTGAAGAATTTCAGCTATATTGAGGACTGTTGAATAATTTATCCAACTATCTAGCATAGTTTTTGAAAGAGAAAAGTGATGAGCTTCTTAGAGAATATGCAGTCAGATAAAGTAGAATTCTGTGGTTTTTTTCCTTTTATTAAGTCATATATACATAGATCATGAATATGTTTATGTATATGTGGGGTACAATGTGTTGATTTTTTAATACAATTTGGAGTGCTTACATCAAACTAATTAATATAGCTTTCGCCTCATTTCCTTGATTATTGTGTTAAGACATTTATGTTCTGTACTTGATAGGTTTGACTTGTACCCTTGCAATATGCTCATATGGTCCCACCGTTTACCCTCCCTCTATCAACCCTCGCCCTCCATTTTTCTCCTTTATCCTGGGTTATAGTTGTGATCTATCTTTCATAAGAAAGTGTGAATAAATATGAATTGGTTTCATAAAAGTACTGAGTACATTGGATACTTTTTCTTGCATTCTTGAGATACTTTATTAAGGAGAATATGTTCCAGTTCCATCTGTGACTCTGTTTATAAAATACTTGAAAATGGCTAATCTAAAAATTTTGTATATTAACTTCTCCAAATACTTACTACTTGACAAATTTGTAATTAAACTGATAAAAGTTATTGAACATGACTAATTGGCAAGAAGTTTTTAATAAAATTAAATGTTACACTTAGGAAATCTCTCTGAATTTGAGTTTTAGTTTTATTATTAAGGATTTTAACTTGTTTAATCATGATAATTTACAAACTGCTATTTCTTTTTTTTTTTTTGAGACAGAGTCTTACTATGTTGTCCTCTGTAGAGTACTGTGGTGTCACAGCTCACAGTAACCTCAAACTCTTGGGCTTAAGCGATTCTCTTGTCTCACAGCAACCTCAAACTCTTGGGCTTAAGCGATTCTCTTGCCTCAGCCTCCCTAGTAGCTGGGACTACAAGTGCCCGCCACAACACCCAGCTATTTGTTGTTGTTGTTGTTGTTAGCAGGCCCAGGCTGGGTTTGAACCTGCTAGCCCCAGTGTATGTGGCTAGCACCCTAACCACTGAGCCATGGGTGCTGAGCCAAGCAAACTGCCTTTTCTTTTTTGCCTTTTTTTTTTTTTTTTTTGGTATCCTGCAAATGTAGCATTAGAAAAAGAATTATAAAATTGCCTTTTCTTAAATGTCATGATTGTACTTGCTACCTGGGTCCTTTACATACCACAAGTGAAAATCAGAGTCTCCCATTATCTTAAGCCCATGATCTACCTCTATAGATGTGATTAATGGTAGTTTGCTATCTAAGGTATCTAACATACACTAGTCACTTTACTTTGTTCAAAAATAGAACATTGCCAGCCTACTTGCATTCGGTTGTGTGCATTACCTCTCTGAATCATCCAGACATGTGTGTCTGAACTGATGAGGACGGCGGCACAGAGTAGACCCACTAGGTAGTGCTGTGACATTCACTTGCTCTTCCATAGGCTTTTGTTTCATTTTGGTTTTGTCTTTATCACTTAGCTTGTTTTGTCCCATTTAATTCTCTTTATAATTCAACACATGTTCATTCTTGGCCTCAGAAAAATGTTAGGATTTTTTTCTTTGGAAAAGTTTTCCTTTTGTTTTGTGCTCCTGGGTAGGATGGCGTTTAAGCGGATATCCTGTGCAGACAGATTGTACAGGAAATTGACCTTCAGGTCTGTGAGAACAAAAGAGGAGGAGGAAGAAAGAAGAAAGGAAGGAAATAAGATCTTTTGACTCAACTGAAAAGACTGTAACAGCAGAGATGGGAGGAAAAGGAATAGAGAATAATAAGGATTTCCAAGTTGTTTTTAAAGAACTTTGGCCTCAAAAATGGCTTTTAGATTACATTTATCACTTTGTATGTTTTAGAAGTGTATAGTATTATTTGGCCTGCATATATCTTTACATTTAAATAAATTATGTTGTAGGTCTTATTCTGTTTTCTTCTTTTGTCACATAACATGATTTTTAAGATGCTGACTTGTCTTCAGCAATCCTCCTTTGGGCTCAGACTTCCTTCTCAATAGAGATGAACAAGGTGATACATACAATCTTGCACATTGACAGGGCTGTCACTACTACAGCTGTCATCAGTGCAGAATTTCTGCTCATGTAGTTTAACTCCTCACTCAACTTAAAGTCTGAAGCCTTGCCTAATTCTAGAGTTTGCTTTATATTCTGTCTTCTCATAGCGTCCTCTGTGAGTATGGCAGTATGCACGATTCATTCATTTCCACAAACACTTTTTGAGAGCCTCTTTAGATACAGGCACTGCTCTGGCTTTACTGCCCACCGAACAAAGCAGGCAGTTCTTGCCCTCATAAAACCTACATTTTAGTGAGCAGACTTAGATGATAAACATGAATATGAAAATGAGTAAATTCTACAGTATGTTTGGTGAAAGGATAACATTTGAGTGAAATGTCATGGGGAAGAACGTTTGAAGCCGAACGGCAGCCAGTACAAAGCCTGAGGCAGGAGTGTGCCTGCCATGGTCAACCCTAAGCATGCGGTAAGCTAGAGGCCGAGTAGGAGGAGGAAATGAGCTGGGCAAGGCAAATTATGAAGGACCTTGAAGGCCCTCGAGGGATTTGGGCTTTTACTTTAAAATAGGGAGCCATTGAAGAGTTTTGAACAAAGGAGTCACACAGTCTGACATTTGCTTTAAAACAGTGGTTCTCAACCTTTCTAATGCCACGATCCGTTAATACAGTTCCTCATGCCGTGGCGACCCCCAACTATAAAATTATTTTCATTGCTACTTCATAACTGTAATTTTGCTACTATTATGAATCGTAATGTAAATGTCTGATATGCAGAGTGTATTTACGTGACCCCTGTGAAAGGGTCATTCGACCCCCGAAGGGGTTGCGACCCACAGGTTGAGAACCGCTACTTTAAAAGCTAGCTGGCATGTTGAGAATATCCAGTTAGTGGTCTAGGGAAGTAATCCAGCTGAGAGATGATGGTGTGACAGGGTGGTGGTAGTGGAGAGGGTAGCTGAGAAACAGATAGACTCTGCATATATTTTTGAAGGAAGTGCCAGTAGAATTTCGGAACAGATTAGATGTGGTTATGTGACAAGAAAGAAATCATGAATGAACCCAAGGTTTTTGGCCTTAGCATCTGAAAAGATAAAATTGTCATAAACTGAGTGTGAAGAATTCTGTGGGAAGAGCAAATTTGGAGGGAAGGATAGATAGTTTTTTATATTATGTACAAATGGCATATTAGTGATTTCTAATCATTATACTCTGAAGCCCAGCACAGTACTGTGTATGTAATAGATATTTCGTGAAATTACTAGTTTATAAACCTTAAATTTTAATAAGTTTCACAAAGCAAGGTGTTACTGTATGGCATTTACTGTTTTTGTCTTGATAGAACTTAAGAGTTGGCTTTAGTGTCTGCCTAATACTATATCTGACTTGATTGTTGATCAAAAGTTCTTTCTGCTGAGTTTCTCTTTCTCTTTTTTGGGGGGTGGGGGTTCTCACTATGTTGCCCAGGCTTTCTCAAACTCCTGGCCTCAAGCAATCCTCCTGCCTCAGCCTCCCAATAAGCTGGGATCACAGAAGTGAGCCCCTATGCCTGGCTTCTTCTTATAATTTCAAAAAAAGGAAGATTCTTCTATCTAAAAAGAATGTAATGTACCTGATTGATAGTCATTAAATAGAGTAATAGTTACAAAACACTGTAATTGTTACCCCTGGCAAAAAACAGTGTGGATTGAGTAGTGTTCAGTATAGACACTAATAAAAATGGATATTAACAATACTTTTTGGCAATTCTTTTTATTTTAACAAAGTTTTGGTATTTTGTAGACTAGTGGAAACTATGCTAGGGTAGATAATTTTTTCCTTAAAATAAAGACATAATTAGAAGAATGCTTCTTATAATAGGGATTTTTATTCATTTGGTAATCCTAAATTGGTTATCTTAGTAGATAATGTAGCTGTTCCCATTTACTGTAACTGCATTTAAATAAGAAGCAACACATCTGCTTTAAATTAAATTTTCAGGATGTGTGGACATATCTTGAAGTTTATCATAATATGCTTAATGTAAAACAAAATTTAATTAACTGGAATTTTAAACATATATTTCTCTTGAGAGAAGGAAGGAATGTGGTAAAGTAAAACTCTAAAACTGTTAGGAGAATTACAGATCCTGCCTAAACAGGAGTTTCTATCTTATATCATATAGTTAGGAAGCTAATTTTTTTTTATTTATTGTTGGGGATTCATTGAGGGTACAAGATGTGTCACCCACTGAGACCCCACCCTCTCCCTCCTTCTCTCTCTCTCCCCTTTCCGCACCCCCCACTATGTCATTAATTGTCCTTATATCAAAATAGAATACATAGGATTCTTGCTTCTCCATTCTTGTGATGCTTTACTGAGAATAATGTGCTCCACTTCCATCCAGGCTAATACAAATGCTGTAAAGTCTCCATTTTTTAAATGGCTGAATAGTATTCCATGGTATACATGTACCACAGCTTGTTAATCCATTCCTGAGTTGGTGGGCATTTAGGCTGTTTCCACATTTTGGCGTTTGTAAATTGAGCTGTGATAAACAGTCTCGTGCAAGTGTCCTTATGATAAAAGGATTTTGTTCCTTCTGGATACATGCCCAGCAATGGGATTGCAGGATGAAATGGGAGGTCTAGCTTGAGTTCTTTGAGGTTTCTCCATACTTCCAAAAAGGTTGTAATAGTTTACAGTCCCACCAGCAGTAGAAAAGTGTTACTTTCTCTTCACATCCATGCCAGCACCTGCAGTTTTGAGATTTTATGATGTGGGCCATTCTCTCTGGGCTTAGATGGTATCTCAGGGGGGTTGTGATTTGCATTTCTCTGATAATTAAGGATGATGAGCATTTTTTCATATGTTTGTTAGCCATTCTTATGTATTCTTGAGAGAAGGTTCTGTTCATCTCTCTTCCCCATTGATATATGGGATTGTTGGCTTTTTTCATGTGGATTAATTTGCGTTCTTTATAGATCTTGGTTATTAAGCTTTTGTCTGATTCAAACTATGCAAATATCCTTTCCCACTGTATAGGTTGTCTGTTTGCTTTGGTTGTTGTCTCCTTAGCTGTACAGAAGCTTTTCAGTTTAATTAAGTCTCATTTGTTTATTTTGGTTGTTAATATGATTTTCAGACGAAGATAACATCTCTTTGTTTCTTATCACTTATGGTTTTGCGTAATTTGGGCATTCATTTAGCTAGCAGTTATTGAACACATTGTGCAACTCTTTTAAAATTTTTTTTTTTTTTTTTAGACAGAAACTTACTACATTGCCCTCAGTAGAGTTCTGTGGCGTCACAGCTCACAGTAACCTCAAACTCTTGGGCTTAAGTGATTTTCTTGTCTTAGCCTCCCAAGTAGCTGGGACTACAGGCGCCCACCACAACACCTGGCTATCTTTTGTTGCAGTTGTCATTGTTGTTTAGCTGTCCTGGGCCAGGTTCGAACCTGCCACCCTTGGTGAATGTGGCTGGAACTGTAACCACTGTGCTACAGGTGCTGAACCTCTTCTAAAATTTTTTAAAATTTAATTTTTTTTATTATCTTATTTCCTTCTCTTTTGATATTACATAATTTATTTTTGAGACAGAGTATCACTATGTCACCCTCGGTACAGTACTGTGGCATCTTAGCTTACAGCAACCTCTAACTCTTGGGCTTAAGTGATTTTCTTGCC